TATTTATGAATATGTATGTACAGCTCCCATAAAAGGAATTCCCTTGAGATGCTAGGGGCTGTCTCTCCCTCCCTCTGCCTCTCAGGGTATACTTTCACTTTGCAGTAAACTTCTTCACCTACTCTTACTTTGGACTCACTCTCAAATTCTTTTATGCTGCAAAGTCAAAAACCTGAACCAGCCCACCAACAACAGTTGATGAACTCTGCTCTAATCCAGGCTGTGGGAAAGTACAGGGGCTGGGAGAGGGGAGAAGGTAGGGAAGGCAGCTTGTCTGAGGAGGTGATGTTTGAGCCAGCTCTCAAAGAACGAGTGCGTGCTGCAAAGAAGGAGGGCAGGGGACAATGTTGCAATCAGATAGAACCACATGAATGAAGCATGGAGAGGCACAGAGGGACATGTGATCTCTAGGATGTGGCTGAGGTGTGTGAGGGGTGGTGGCTGGGGGTGAGATTGTAGCAAGTTTTTCTTTTTTGAGACAAGGTCTCACTCTGTCGCCCAGGCTGGAATGCAGAGGCAGGATCTAGCTCACTATAACCATGAACCCCTGGGATTAGGGGATCCTCTCACCTCAGCCTCCCACGTGGCTGGGGCTATAAGGGTATGCCACCACACCTGTCTAATTGTTGTTTTTGTAGAAACAGGGTCTCTCTATGTTGTGCAGGCTGGTGTTAACTCCTGGCCTCAAGCAATCCTCCTGCCTCAGCCTCCCCAAGTGCTGGGATTACAGGCATGAGCCACTGTTCCTGGCCTGGGAAAAGTCTTGAATAACTCTCACTGGAATCAGAACGTCATCTTGAGGCAAAGGGGCAGGCATGGGAGGATTTTTAGCAAGAAAGATACAGGGTTAGAGGTGAGTATTAGAAAGCTCCCATTACTGATGGTTTTGGTGATGGGCTGGGTGGGGTAAGACTGGAGACCAGAGGCTGGGGAGGAGGCTTTTGCCATGGTCTGGGGAAAAGAGATCAAGATGGGACCTAGATCTGAGAGTAAGAGGAGGGGACAGGCCAGGAACTTGGTGACTTACAGGAATGGGTGAAGAGGGAAAAGAAGCGAAACAAAACTCTGGCTGTGGAGACTTAAAACAGGCTTTATACTTCGTTTTTTTGTTTTGTTTTGACGTCTCGCTCTGTCATCCAGGCTGGAGTGCAGTGGCACGATCTCGGCTCACTGCAACCTCTGCCTCATGGGGTCAAGTGATTCTCCTGTCTCAGCCTCCTGAGTAGCTGGGATTACAGGTGTGCGCCACACCTGGCTCGTTTTTGTATTTTTAGTAGAGATGAGGTTTCACCATGTTAGCCAGGATGGTCTCAATCTCCTGACCTTGTGATCCACCTGCCTCGGTCTCCCAAAGTGCTGGGATTGCAGGTGTGAGCCATCACACCTGGCCCTATGCTTGTTTTGTGCTGTCTTACACATCAGTTTTTCCCTGTGAACACAGGGACACCCTTATACTCAGGATGCAAGTGGAAAGCCTGTTGCCACAGTGATATAGCTGGAAACCTGCAGGTCATTCAGTGAATCTAATCATTACCTTGAAGAATTTGGCAGGTGGCTGAGTTCACTTTGACCAGCCTCCAAGAGCTGGGGGCTTGACATGCACCAGCCACTCTGTCAGGCAGTCTGCATGCATTGATTCATTTAATCCTCAGGATGAACCAATGAACTAAGTGGTGCTATTATCGCCATTTATCAGATAAGCAAATGGAAGTAGCAAGAAGTTCAGTGGTGAGGCAGCTGTTTAGATCCTGGAGGTCTGACTTGAAAGCTTAAATTATTATTTTTTTTTATTGAAGTAAAATTCCCATAACATTCAATGAATTTTAAAATGAACCATTTTAAAGTGAACAATTCAGTGGCATTTAGTACGCACACAGTGTTGTGTAACCACAACCTCTATTTGGTTCTAAACATTTTCATTAACCCAAAAGGAAACCATGTACTCATTAAGCAGCTACTGCCCCCCTCGAAGCCCCTGGCAACCACCAACCTACTTTCTGCCTCCAAAAATATATTTCATATTCTAGACTTTTTATATCGATGGCATCATATGATACGTGACCTTTAGTGTCTGGCTTCTTTCACTTGGTGTGATGTTTTCCAAGTTCATCTATGTTGTAGCATGTGTCCGTACTTCAGTCCTTTTTTATGGCTGAATGATATTGCATTGCAAGAATGTACCACATTTTGTTTATGCCTTCATTAGTTGATGGACATTTGGGTTGTTTCCAATTCTTGGCTACTGTGAAGGAAGTGAAAATTTTAATTGCTGCCTTCTACTGCCTTTGTTAAGACAGTTTTAACAGATTCTAGATCCTGGGAATATAGCTCTTACTTTATATTCCCATATATATAGTCTCCTAAATATAAAAAATATATTTAGGAGAGATGAATGGGAGCCTGTGGGATCCCAGAGGAAGGCGTTCCAGATTCTTCCCAGGGTAGCACGAAGATGAAGGATGCTTCATGTTGGAGAAGACCTTGTACTTGATCCTTGAGGTATTTCATATTCTGGCCAGTGGAGCTCACAGCCCCCAGAGGAGACGAAGCCAGAAGAAGGGAGGAGGAGGAGGTGTAAACTCACCAGATTCAGGAAGTAGTTCAAACAGTGGCCACTTAGAGGAACAGGCAGAGAGTAGCCTAAATTGGGACTGAGACATTGGAGAAGGGGAGGAGGCCTGTTTCACAAGAAACCATGAGTGTAGGCCAGAAATTGTGCCTTGGTGGGAGGTTAGAACTACACACAGTGGTGTGATACTCTCCTTGCTCAATGAGATAGAATGAATACTTGTGTCCCCCCATACCCTCATATTCATATGTTGAAGCCTAATCGCCAATATGATGGTATTTGAAGGTGGGCCTTTGGGAGGTGATTAGGTCATGAGGGTAGAGCCCTCATGAATGGGATTAGTACCCTTATAGAAGCAACCACGGAGATCTCCCTTCCCTGCCTTTCAGCCATGCGAGGACACAGTGAGAAGGCATTGTCTATGAATCAGAGAATGAGCCCTCATCAGACATGGAATCTACTGGTCCCTTGATCTTGGACTTTCTAGCCTCTAGAACTGTGAGAAATTAAATTTTATTGTTTATAAGCCGCCCAGTTTATGGTAGTTGGTTATAGCAACCCAAACTAAGACACCCAGGCCTTGAGTACCAGCTGCCATGACTGCAGATGGGAATCCTCACACCTCTGGATGGGAAACCTGGAAGACAATGTGGCTTAAGGAAAGATGAGTCCAATTTGGGGTGCATTAAAAGCACGGAGTCTTTGGGTCATTCGGGGAAAGATGTGCAGGAGAACATAGGAGATTAGAGCTTAGGAGAGAGGCCTGGGCTGGAAATGTAACTTGTGAGCCCTCAGCAGAGTCCAGCCTTGTAGTTCCCACCTGGATTGAGTTCAAGTCATTTCAGAGATTTACTGAGTACACTTCGTGTGCTGTGTCCATAGCTGGTCTGTAAAAATACGGGACTGGACATAGTACAGTTCCTGACCTGGAGAAGCTTGGAGATCAGAACTAGATATTAAACAAGGATAATCTTATAAAAATATTAATGTAAATTTGATTAAAGAGTAACATTCCTATAGAAAAGGGAACACATCACAAGTGTTTTACTAAAAGGATTTTCATGGAGTGATGACATCTGAGCAACTAGTAGCCAGATCAACAAACAGATCCTGGGCTAGGTGCAGTGGCTCATGCCTGTAGTTCCAGCACTTTGGGAGGCTCAGGCAGGAGGATCGCTTGAGCCCAGGAGTTCAAAACCAACCTGGTCAACATGGGGAGACCATGTCTCTACACAAAATTTAAAAATTAACTAAGCATGATGGTACATGCCTGTAGTCCCAGCTACTCTGGAGGCTGCCATGAAAGGATGGCTTGAACTAATGAGGTCAAGGCCGCAGTGAGTCATGATGGCGCCACTGCATTCCAGCCTGGGTGACAGATTCTGTCTCAAAAACAATACAAAAACAAATAAACAAAAAACCCTAAAGAACAGATCCTTACCAGAACCTCCCAGAACTCCCTAATGCGGCCTTCTAATCATTACTATCCACCACTCCTGACCTCTGCCCCACTTGTCACCAGTATCTGGACTTTGAACACCAAAGATTAGTTTTGCATGTTTCTAAACCTTATATCAAGTACATCACATAATATGTACTTTTTGTATCTGGGTTCTTTCACTCAACATTATGTTTCTAAGATTCATATATGTAGTGTGGAGTTATTATTTGCTTCTTTCACTGCAGAAATAATACATAATTTATCTGTATTACTTGATTGGTATTAGGTAGGTTTTATTTTCAGCCATTGCAATTAGGGCTGCTGTGACCATTCTTGTGTATATTTGAAGAAAATTTGTATGCATTTCTGCTAGGTTTGCACCTATGAGTCGTTTGTAACCAGAGGAAACCTGTGCTGCTCCTGCCCCACCTCTGGCATCTGTAGGGCTGTCGCCTCCACCTACACTCACCCTTGCTCCCCAGGACGGGGCAGGTCCCTCAGCCGGTCGTGCCTTTACTGCCCCTGCACCCTGGATAGTAGCTTCCCATCTATGGGGTGAAGCCGCCTGGGGGTCTGAGCTGGGCGAGGCGGAGCCTGGAGGGGCACCCACCATGGGCAGGGGAGACAGAGGCAGGCACAGCCTGGCGGCGTCCAGGCTGAGCCAGCAGGGAGGACGGGGCTGTGGGAACCCAGCAGAGCGGGTGAGGATCCGCGGGCAGGTGGGACCGGTGAGCCGGGAGGTGAGAGATGGGCAGGGCTGCCTGAAAGGCAAGTTCATCCCAGAGCAGCGAGGAGGGCGCAGCTGAAGGCCGTGGGGGAAACAGCGTGAGAAAAAACAGGCAACACTCTGCCAGTAGTGAGGCTGTATCCCAGTGTGATGGTCACAAAAATATTGTTGAATAGCAAAAAGTGTTTCTGAAGTGTGCCGTGGGTAAAGTGTGAGAAAATAAAGCAGATTTCATCAAGACCAACAGAGTCCTCAGGGCTGGAGAGGAGCTTGGTTTTATGAACTTGCACAGGAAAGGCCTCGCTGAGAAGAAAATTGGTGCCCCAACGTACCTGGCACCGCCCTCGGCTGCTGATTGGCTCAAGACCTTAAAAGTCCTCGGAACCGGAAGTGGGAGGAGGGATTGCACCTTCAGCTTCTGATTGGCTCTGGCGGCTGTGCATCAGCCCCCAGAGGAACATGCCCATAGGGGAAAGCTCTATCTGCCTCACTGATTGGCTGCAGAGAAAGTTTCAAACTGCTGATTGTTGGCCAGGCATGAGGCAAGTGGGCTGAACCCAGGACAGCAGTGGAGCCTTCACCCTGCCTTCCCAGCTCGTAGCAGAGTATGCCTGGCGTCCCTGCCGTGCCTGGCCTGTGGGTGTCCCGGGCAGTCCGCCATGTGAGACCTGCATTGAGACTTTGCAAAGTCTGCTTCCAGGAAAGCGGAGCTCCCCTGTCAGTCAGGAGTCCCTCAGTCAGTAGATCCTTGGGCCGCCCTCAGGCCTGCGAGGCCCCCGAGCCCCTTGCTGCGTCCAAGGCCAATTCTGGATCAGTCCTGAGGCGAGGCCGCGGCGCATTCCTCAGCCTCCACCAGGCCAGTCACCTGCTCAGCCCGAGGGCAGCCAGCGGTCATCGCCCCAGTGAGGCGGCCCGTGAGGAGCTGAGGCTGGGACCAGCGCAGCGCCCGGCGAGTCAGCGTCAGTCCCGCGCCAGCCAGTTCCTCAGACAATCAGGTAACGCGCCCCCATGGCCTGCGCCGGCGAGCAGTTAGCTAAGCTCGTGCCAGTCAGCCTCTTACGAGGTCGGTCCCCTGTAAGGCACCCGGTCATTAGTCGCATGATTACTGTCTGTCTAGACCAGCTAATCGGGCTCACGCTGTGTCACTGGGTTCCCTGGAAACCCAGCCTTTATGTCAGTCATCCATAACCCAATCACTGATTGGCTGCAGCCCCCACCCACCCCTTGGCCCCCTTGGCCTCAGACATGTTCTTCATCCTCTCTGCTCCGGGGTCTAAGGAAATCTAAGTTTGAGTCTCTTCCCTGTGTCTCTTGCTCCCCTCTCTCTTCGTCCCCCTCTTCCTCCTTCCCTTTTGGGAAGGGGGTGGTGTCTGAGTCACCAGATGGCTCTTCAGCCAACAAAACTCTTTGATGTACATTCAAGGGACTCTTGTTCCCTCCTGCCAGGTCCCCTCATCAGCATACAAGTCCCCAGGAAGACACACTCCCCCGCCCCCGGGAGCTTCCTCAAGCAGCCCGGATTCTGGGCAGGAGGAGCTGGAAGATGCAAAGCGATGTTTCATGGGGGCTGAGACAGGCACAGGGAAGGACTTTCCAGACACTCCCAAGGGGCTCTCAGTATTTCCTGTGAGTCCACTCACATCTCTATGGGATTCTCAGAGCAGGACCAAGGGAAGGAACTTTAGGGGCAGAAGCTACTTAGGGGTGCACGTGGGCCTCCTGTGCTATCCTGTAACCTCAAAATCTACTTGTCTTTTCCCCCTGCTTCTCTACTCCCTCATCCTCTCAGGTGAGTTCATTTCCCTTTTCACTTGATTTGGTTTCATGTCTCTTTCCTGAGGCCCAGAGATGTTCCCACCTTCCCGAGAAAGCTCAATGGTTTTGTCCATTCTGCAGTAGTCTGTCTGAGTATGGATGCAACTGCTGCTCCAGGCATGGGCCATCACCCAGGGTCATGAGGCCAGGGACTTCTGGACGTTGGGCAGTAGGGACAAGTGGATTGTGACATCAGTGGGCAGGGGAGCTGGGTATTGAGAAGTGAAAGATCACTCAAATGGCAGAAAGTGGTTGCCAAGCATCATGAGCATTCCTGTTCTTTCTCTCTTGCTGGGACATTGGATCTTGTTGGCCTGAGAACCACAGCTCCAGTCTTCCCAAGACCAAAGTCCCATGGGAGGAGCCATTCCAGGACTCTGGATGGCTGATGTCCCATTTTGTGTGTCTGTAGTGTGAATGCATGAGTGTCCTTGGTATCTGTGGTGTATGTGTGTCCGTGTATTTGTGTGTGTTTGTGTGTGTGCCTGCAGCCTATATGTGTGTTAGAGGTGTGTGTACATCTGAGTTGTGTGTGTAATTGAATTTGTATGTGTCTGTATCTATATATGTGTATTTATATGTGTGTCAGTGTTCTTTGGGTGCATATCTGAGTTGTGTATGCATGCCTGTGTATGTTTGTGTCTGGTTGTGGTCTCCATATTTATGTATAAGGTATGTGTTTCTGTATCTGGTGTGTGTATGTGTACATATCTATATGAGATGTCAGTGTATCTGTTTGTGGTCTCCGTGTTTGAGCTTGTGTGTATTTGTGTATCTCTGTGTGCGGTCTCTGTGTGTGCATGTCTGAGTTGCATGTGTGTGTCTGTGTAACTTTAGGGGCAGCCTATGGTGTGTGTGTGTATGTGTGCATGGTCAAATGCAACTTTCTCAGGGATAACGTTCATAGACAACACATTGAAGAGTATAATTGTCCCATATTCTCTATGTATCTTTCCTGTGGGTTAGGAGGGAAGAGTGTTTGGGACTCAGCGACCATAGTGTCCCCATGTTTGGCCCTTCCCTTCAGGCTCCCATGTCCACAATCATCTTTGTCCTGAGGGAGAAAGGAACCCATCCGTCGTTCTCTAGTGGCCTCTAACCTTGCTAGTAAGACCAGCAGTGATGCCAGAGTCCTGAAAGGGCTGGCTCTGGGGATGACCAGCTAGTGAGTTGCATTCTGGGGTTTGGGGGATTCAGATAAGGAGTTATTATGGGGAGGGGCCTGATGATCTGGTGCAGTAGATTGTGAGAGGCCATGGGTGAGGAGAGAGCCAGCCCCAACGTAGGCACTCCTAAGCAGACTGGGGACCAGAAAACAAGGCACATAGGTACGTTAGAAGGGCATGAAGTTCCTGTTTATACGTCTCAGGGCTCTACCAGCAGAGCCCAAGCTTCCTGCCTCTTCATGACTCTGGGGCTCAGGGTAGCCTGGGCAAGAAAGAAACTGTAGGAAAAGGAAAATACTGTCCCAGATTGAAAAAGTGAAAATCAACCCAGTTGGATAAAGAAAAATAGCCAGGAAGTTACTGAGGCCGAGTGGGAGGACATCTACAATATTAAAAAGGAATCTTATTTCTCTCAAGGTCTTGTAATAGCTGTAAAATGCCATGAGGATTTTCTGTAAATGATTAATACTTTCTCACCAAAGATGCCCTGAAACCAGCTTTGTTATTCCCATTTAGTTACTGGGATTACCCATGTATCCCATCCTAGTCCCAGAGCTGTACCAATCTCTAGTTAATGCCCATATGGAGTGAGAAGCCCAAGTCTGAGGATGAAAGCACACCCTAGAGGGTCTCAAACACCGCTGACTAGCCACATCAACCTAGGATGTCACCAGACCCTTCCCTGGGCTCCTGCTACCTCTGCACTGGAGTCTTATCGAGGCTCTGCCCCATACCTCCCAGGGATGATGCTCCACCCACCAGAAAACACTCTGGCCCCTGAGAAGACCCAGGCAGGGGAGCTGTCACTGTCTGTGACTATTTGGACTCAGATACTTCCCAACTCTGCAGAAGGGCTTGACCCCAGAGGTTGGGGTCTCAGTCCTAGCCCAGGAAGGCAAAGGGGTGGGAAGCATCCAGACCTGCTTTAGAGGGATGAATGGAGTCAGGGGTGGGGCAGACAATCAGGAGTGGATGGTGCTGGGCTCACTTCTCTGGCTCCTTTTCCTACTCCTCCTATTTCCTGACAATGTCCCTCATAAGAACGATGTCTGTCTGTCTGCCTCTCCTGGCTTAGCCACAGGGAAGAAGGATGTGCTTGCTAAGTAAGCCCCTCTGTTTACTAATCTCTGCATTGTTTCTTTAAATATCTTGCTTCATACCAGACACATGCACACACACACACACACACACACACACACACACACACCAGCTCTGGAAGTGAAGGGGTAGACTTCGCATTTGATAAAGGAGAAAATCAGACTTTCTGACTTGATCATTTTCTCCAGTTCTGCCCACTAGTCCCAGTGTCACTGAGCAGAAGAAGAGAGTCTCAGGCCTAATGGTGAAGGATAGCACTTCATGGCCACTTATTTCTGGCTCAAACTGATCCCCTTTTCTGGTAATGTGGGACTCACCTGATGTTGAGGGACTCCCCTTTTACCCAGGAGAGGATGAACCTAGGGAGCTCACCTAGCTGCCTTCTGCTGCTGGATTAGGGGCTGGGAAATGGTGGGGCAGGGTATCCTTTCTCAATGAGGAGAGATGCAAGATACCTGGCCTCTGTGTTGTTCCTCCAGTCCTGGGGTCCTAAAGTAGTCACATTCTTCTTACCTCTGATCAGTTCTCCTTTGGTGTCCCTTGGACCATTTACAGGATTTATAGTTGTGCTTAGAGGGGAGGAGCAGGGACAAAATGAGTCGACGTTATCTTGTCTGCTCCAGAAGTCTGTCATCTTTTCATGGTGTAATAGATAGGTTGATTGGTATCACCAGCCTGTCATGACCATAGAAAGACATGTGACTCAGCCGTTCCTTCTGGGATAAGGGAGTGGGGGTTAAGCATCAAACTTTTTTTTTTTTTTTTTTGATACAGATGCTCTGTCCCCCAGGCTGGAGTGTAGTGGCGAGATCTTGGCTCACTGCAACCTTGCCTCCCAGGTTCAAGTGATTCTCACGCCTCAGCCTCCTGAGCAGCTGGGATTACAGGTATGTGCCACCACACCCGGCTACATTTTGTATTGTTAGTAGAGACGAAGTTTCACTATGTTGGCCAGGCTGATCTCAAACTCTTGACCTCAAGTGATCCGCCTGCCTAAGCCTCCCAAAGTATTGGCATTACTGGTATGAGCCACTGTGCCAGGCCCACACATTGTTTTAAGCAATACCAGAATCTTCCATTTGTTTATCTAAGGGTCATTATGAGCTTATGGCATAATGCTTTCACTCCTGTCATGGTTTGGGTGCTGCTGATGAATTTGGGGCTGGTTTTCTCAAACTGATTTTTATCTTTTTAATTAGACTTTTTAGGAGGATGATTGTGAGTTTCCTTTTGCACATCTACCTTGGAGGTCATTTGGAAGGATGAGATGTTAGCCCAATAATGACATGGTGACAGCCTTTCCTGGAGGAGGAATGTAGATGCAAACAGAGAGGGAGGAATGCATCAGAATGGGGTCCATAGAGTGTAGGATATGGCAATGGAAGAGTAGACTGGGTGAGAGTCAGAGCGACATAGAATAGAGGTCAGCACACTATAGCAGGTGGGCTGCCTGTTTTTGTAAATAGCATTTTGTTGTAACACAGCCATATAATTCATTTGCAGATTGTCTGTGGCTGCTTTGGTGCTACAATGGCAGAGTTTAATAGTTGCAACAGAGACGATTTTGCTTGCAAAACTGAACATGTTTACTATCTGGCCCTTTGCTAATACTGGTTGACCATCTCTGACTTAGAATGTCACATTAGAATGTCATTCTTGTGGGCTGGGGATCTAGGGAAGTATTTTGACTATGGTCAGCTCTGAGTTTTAGAAAATTTCCCAAATGCTAATATGTGATTTTCCTTGTAGCAGGACATAAAGAAAGCAGAAATCTGAGTAGGAGACAGGTGGGATAGAAAGGGAAGATTCAGGAGTGGAGAGAGATGATGTTGGAGGGCAAGTCAGGGAAGACATGTATGGTGGTGTTTTGACCAGCAAGTGCGATGGACATGTTGCTGATATAATTTCAGGGATCAAAGGTCACTAATGCCTTCTGTTCAAGGGGGAAGGAACCAGTATGCGTCAAACTCTCACTGCACCAGGACTGGCATTTTTCATGCGTGCTTTTATTTAATGCTCACAGGATCCCTATGAGATAGGACTTCTTGCACCTATTTCACAGAGAAGGAAATGGAGACATGGAAGGTTAAGGAGCTTGTGTGATATCATACACTTTGTAAATGAAGGAGCACAGATTTGATTCCAGCACTCTCTAGTGACAAAGTCTAAGATGATGACATTATAGCAGGAAACTCACAGAATGTCTATAAACCCATTGCCTGCAGGGTGTTAAATCTCTAAGAATTAGCCTTTGGTCCCTGACCCATAGAGGATGTGAATCTTCTAGCTGAGGCTGATGCTTTTGTGGGTTCTTCAATGGGTCCTGACCTCTGAGTATTCCGTGGAGGTGTCCTTGGAAGGATTCATCCCATGAAAGCTGAGGGAAGCATAATGCAGCTCTTCGTCCATCCCCACAGTAGGGGCGGCACAGTAGGTTTCAGTGGGGCCATGTAACTTGGACTTCCTCTGGTGTTCCTTATGGAGAGAAAAGAAGGGGGTTAGAGCAGGGCAGTAATGAGGGGGGCCGGGAGAAGGTAGAGAGGGTCAATGAAGTAAATTTGACTCTGACAGAATATTTATTCATTTATTTATTCATTTAGTTCATTCTTTCATCAAATGTTTATTAAGCCTCCACTTATTCATTATCTAACAGTTGTAGCATGTATTGATTGATTCCCAGTTCTCTTGAATACACACACGGACCAATGTGGAAAAATTCTGGGCAGCTACATTGACATCATCTTTAGCATCCATAATTTTATCCATTTCACAGACCAGGAAACTAGGTCTCAGAGAGTTTAGGTAATTCCCAAGGTCACACATCTGTTGACCCTGAACTCAGTCCCAGATCTCTGGGACCTCCTACACAAAACAGGGGACATTGTATCATGGGAGACACAAGAGCAGATGCTGGAGAAATGGCAAGTCTACAGGGTACTACCATTTTCTTCTGCAGGCCCATTTCTTGGTTCTAGATATGGTGCAGTGTTTCTCAAAAGTGTCCTTCAACTCAGTTTCTGCTTCCTTTCCTCCCATTCTGTCTTGAACTCTCTCTAGTTGAGATCTTCCTCCAGCAAAAAATCAGATCTGCTTTGCTGTCGTACTACTTAGCTACATGCAAATAGTCATTTCTCAAACTCTGTCTTAACCAGACTTACCAGCACTTGAAACAAATGACCAATCTCTCCTCCATGAAGCTCCATCTCCCCTTGGCCACCAACACTAGAGCCTGCACTTTCTTGGTCATTGGCTCCTACTCAGTTGCCACTCATTCTCAGCTTTCTCACCATTTACACCTCATCTCCCTAACATTAAATGCTGGAGGGTTCCAGGGGTATGGTCCCCTTCTCTTCTTTGTAGATTCATCCACTATTGGTTGTTGCTATGGAAGCCCTCAACCTCTGTGTCTCCCATGGAGACCCCTCTTCTGAGCTCCAGACACTTGCCTGCTACTTGTCGTTTCCACTTGGATGTCTCAGAGGCACCTGAAACTTACAGTAACCAAAATAATGTTTGCTATACACTTGAAAATATACTTCTCCTTCAGGGTTGGCAATTTTAATCATTGGCAATTTGATATTTTAAGTTTGAATACTGCGTAAATCACATGAACATCATATTTGGCATCTATAGACATCTATGAAATCTATGGAGTCTTCTTAGGCATCTATGACATCTGTGATATCTGTGGACCCGTGACATCTGAGACAGCTATCAAGCAGAGGTTGTGAGCTATCTTTGCTCATGCCTTGCATGCACTCCATCACTCCATTTACAAATATTGTTGACTCCACCTTCAAGGTGTATCTGGAACCAAATTTTTCTACATCAGATTCATCATTCTTAGTTGGAACTAAGTCTGAGTCAGTCATCTCTTGGTTTGATTTTCTGTGTATCCTCTATTCTGGTATCTTCTCTTCTGTTCTATGTACTAGAATTTCTCATGGAGCAGCCAGAGTGACTCCCACTAAAATGAGTGTCCGTTCATGTCACTCTTCTGCTCTAAAAGCATAAATAACTATAATGAACTTAGGACCCTGCAATATTTGCAGCTTCTATGTCTCTTCAACTTCATTTCCTACCTGCAGTTGCTCAGTCCACAGCCCACACCCAACATGTAACTCTGCCTTATCCACACTGTCTTAACTGTTGTTTCTCTAAAACATCAGCTGTGCTCCAGCCTCAGAGCCTTGCTGCTCCCTCGATGATTCTCTAGTGCTCGCACTGTACTCCTTTTCTTCCTGGAGGTGTTGGCTCAAAGGCTACTCTTTGGCCTTTAGGACTGTCTAATCCATTCTCCCATTTCATTTCTTTCCATAGCACTTACTTCATGCCTATTTCATGTATATTTGCACTACTTATTTGTTCATTATTTTCATACCTTTCACCAATTGATGTAAGCCCCTGATAGGAGGAATATTTTATATTTGTAAAATATGTGTTTATAAAACTGGCACAAGGACCTACAACAATTGACAAATGGTATTATATAGATATTTGCAGAATGAATGGGTGCTTATTGACCCTGTGTTCAAAAACTTTACTGTGGTGTTCACTTTAGTCAGAGTTAAATTAAAAAAAAAATCAGAGCTTGAAGGATGCACTGGAGTTGGGCAGGTAGCTATTAGGAATTTGAGGAGGAGGGGACAGCTCAGCAATGATTCTGAGATGAAAAACCTTGCTCCGCTTGAGGTGATTGAGTGGCTAATGTTGGGGGAGCATAGTGCTGATGGTGATTCTGGTTTTCCTGCCCCAAATGCCAGACCAAGTTGTTGGAATGCCGGTCTTTCAGCAGTATGGAGAAGAAGTGCATTTCAAACTTGGAAATGATGAGACAATTACCTTTTATGGAGCTAATGTTCTGGAGAGGAGAAATGGGAGATAAGGCTGTAGCAGAATAAGGAGTGGGAGGGTATCTTGGCTCAGAAGGAGTGGTTGTGTTAAGCTGTGTCCAGAGGAAGCTCAGACATGCATCGTAGCATACTGGCACAGGAAGAAGAGATAGAGAACTGGGGCAGAAGGGGGCCAGGTCTGTGGCTGGTTAATGGGGACAAGAGTGCCGTCAGTGAGATGGAGAACCCATCAAGAGAAATATGTTTAGGGGTGTGTCAACCAAGTGTTTCTGATGTTTTGACATCTGGGGCATTGCTGACCCTCGAGAGGCTGCCTCTCCCAGGGATAGTAGATTTCTAGAGATGATAAAGGACTTGCTTACAAGTGTACCTTTCATGTGCAAACCAGTCAATCTAAAGCCCACACTACTGACTGGATCTTTTATTGAGCCACACTCCAGGCCACAATCCTCCTGCCCTAATTAACCAGGGCCACATACAAGACAACTAGAGACAAACCCTATACTCCAGAGTCTGCTGAAATTGTTCAAGGTAGCCAATTGTAAACCCGCCTAGCTTGCTTATCCTGTCTTGTCCATTCTTTTCCATGAAAGCCACAATAAAAGCTCTTGTCCCATTTTCCCTTTGCCCCCTCTGCTTCCTGACTGACCCTGGTGCTTCTCTACATGGATTTGCGTGGTGTGGCATGCCCTCTCCTCTTGGGAATGGTGAATAAGAAACTACCTTTCCAGTGGCCGTCATCTCCTGATCTGTTGGCCTCAACATACCTGAATAAAATTAAAACCTGCAGTGTTAAACAGGAGGAAAGACAATGAGCTCAGTTCTGGAAATGCTGAATGGGGCATGTCTGTGGGCCATCTTGGGAGGAGGTGTCTGCAGGGCAGACTGGATGTCAGGATACCCCATCACTCACCAGGGAGGCTGGCACTCTGGCAGGGTAGGTGTCATTCCTGCCCATTGCTGTCCTGGCTGCTTTCCTCCTGTGGATCTTCACTCTGATGGAAGACACCAGGGTCTTTGAGCCTGGTTTTCTCAGGCTGTAGGGCCATTGTTATGAGTCTGGAATGAGGGACTTTGGCAGGTAAGGGGTGGGATTAATCCATAAGCCTTCAAACAAGACTTAGTAACAAGGTCTCCTTCTACCTCCCACTTCTTGGACATCTGAGACCAGAGGCCTAGAATAGACCCATGCCTAGCCCAGTGGCTTCAGGCTGGATTCTGTACACCCACCTTACTCCCTGCCCTTTCTCCAGCCCTCACAGCCCCTCCAGGACCCTTCTACACCAGGTCCATCCTCTTCACCTCTGGCCCACACCTGACCCAGAGAAAATGCTCACATGAAGAAGATGAGGCAGAGACAAAGAATGAGCAGGGCTGTGACACCAGCTCCTCCGATGGCCCCCTGAACCACTCCTGCTCTGGTCTCTTGTTTCCCTGCAGATAAAAAAGACTTAGGGTGAACTCTAATCTTGATAAATAGGTATGTGTCTCCTCCTCTCCAGCATGTAGAGAGGGTGTCTTCACCTCCAAAATGGGATTCAGCTCCTAGATCTTCCTACTCATCATGGGACATCAATATAGACCGTGACCATGAGATAAAGCACACAGTGCACCTAACACCTCTTGTTCAGCCCTCTCTTTCCGGTGCACAAGGCACCATCTCTTCTAGCAGCCAGGTACCTCTCCATCCTGGGTTTCTCTGAAATGGACCTCAGAAATAGCCACTGAAGTACTGTGAAGCTCTGAGCCTCTTTGGGGTGGTGGGGGGAGACAGAGAGAGAGAGAGATTGAGAGCACAAGCACTGGAATGCTGATAGGCCTTGTCTCTTCTTTCTTCCCACTGACCCCATCACTCAGGGTCAAAGGTGGTCCTTTTGGCCTTCAAAAGAGCCTGGAAGCAGGGTGGGGCAGGGAGGTGATTCTCAGACCTTTGGGTCAGACCCAGGCAGTTCTCCTGGACCTGCCTGTCTGTGCCTTCTAGATCCCAACACTCAGAGTCAGAGGCGTGTCTCTGAGCATCATCTGTCAACAGTTTGATGACCACTACTGAGGGAACTATTCCTGCCTTTGCTGAGCTTACTGTCCTGTGAGGGACCAGATGCCATTATTAATTGGAATAGGGCAGTGGAGAGAGCATTGGTCTTTGGAACAGAGGTCATGGCTAAGGGTTGAGTTATGGACAGTAGAAAAAAAATGCCCTAAAGCGATTTTTAGGGAAGTGTGATTATTCTATATGATACTTTTGTGATAGATTCATGTCATTATACATTTTTAAAAAATCTGTAAAATGTACAACACCAGGAGTGAACCCTAATGTAAACTATGGGCTTTGGTTGACAATGGTATGTCAGTATAGGCTTATTGATTGTAACAAATGTATCACTCTGATGGGGAGTGCTGATGGTGGGGGAGACTATGTGTGGGGGTAGAGGGTATATGGGAAGTCTTTGTACCTTCTGCTCAATTTCTTCTGTGAACTTTACACATGAAAAATAAAGCTCATTTAAAAATGCTCCCAAGATGTTCACTGACTAGAAGATTCCACTCAGTTTTGCTCTGAAACTAACACTACTCTAAAAAATAAAACCTATTAAAAATGCCCCCATCGGAGCAAAATGGCTGACTAGAGGTACCTGGAGCTCATCCTCCCCTGTGGCTCCCGGACAGGAAAGGACCAAGGCAATGAATAAACAGCAAAGATTTGAGTGGTGTGTCAAAGGGAGAGTACTGTAATACAGCAGGGCAATGGAGAGTTACCTGTGGTAATTGGAAGCCCAAGAGGGCAGCATCGAGGCACCCAGCCTTTGCAGCTCCATCTCCACAGCCCAGATTGGTTTGTCCCAGAGACAAGAAGGATTTCCCCTTATAGGGAAATAATAAACAAGAATCCAACCAATCCCCAGTGCCACTGCAGATCCCTACATTCCTTACTACTGGTGAATCCTACAGTCTTCATAAGCTCCGAGCACAGTTGGAAGAGCTGCCAGGAATTCATGCAGCTGCATGGTTCTGGATTAGGAGCACATGGTGTGCACTCCCAGCTCCCTAACCAACCCCTGTGGGCAAGCTGCTGCAACATAGCACTACCTTGAGACCACAGCCATCTCTGGAATATACCTCCTCCGGGGGCCAGTGGCCATGCACCGCTTCATCATTGTAACTACATCTTCATTCCCCTAAGCCTGCACTAGTGGCTGAATACCACAATTAGATCTGCATGGAGCCTGAGCCCAGGATTGGCTGTGACTCTGGTCCTGAACAGCAGGGAAACCAGCCCCTGCTACCTGTAATTCCAGCCAGAGGAACAGTCTTATAGTCCCACTCAAGGTGAACACATAATTGAGTTGGCCAAGCTACTGTACACACTCTCCTGAATGGGAGAGGCCCCTGACATAACAAAGAGCTGATACATCCCTAGGCTGGGGGAGAGGTTATGTGCCCACACACAGGCCCTGAGAGACATGCCTCTGGCCTGCCCAAAGGCCACTATCCCACAATTAGGGCCTGAGAAACAGCCTTGTGGGCCAGCCCTTTAGACATAACCCCAGGCAGATTGAGCAGCTGTGTGCTTGCCTTCTAGTCCTGAAAAACAGCCCCATGGTCTACCACTGGCTGGTACACGTTCTAGGCCAGCCGAGCAGTCGTACACCCATATCCCAAACCCTAGATAAAGCTCTGAGTGCTGCTTCTAGCAAAAACACACCTAGGCCAGCCAAGAAGTCATTCAACTTCATCCCAGCCCTGCAAAACAGCCATGTTGGCACCTCCAGCAGACGTACCCCAGGTCAGCCAAGTAGTGGGACACCTGTGTCCCATTGTTTTAATTCATGACTTGAAAGAGAAATTAAACAAAAAGATGTAATATCCAAGCAGAAATCCTCAGCTGAGAACTCAATAAATGAAATAAAAAATGAAGTACTCCACAATCGAGAGCTTCAACAACAGACTAAGCCAAGCAAAAAAAAAAAAATAATTTCTGAACTTGACAGATCTCAAATAACACGGGCAGGTAAAAACAAGAGACTAAAATAGAATGAAGAAAGCCTACAGGATTCACAGGACACAATCAAGCAAGTATTCACATTATGGGATTTCCAGATGGAGAAGAGAATGGAAAAGGTGTAGAAAACATATGCTACATCAAATAACAGGTGAAGACTTCCCAAGCCTTGGGAACTAGAAGGACATTGGGTTCCAGGAAGCTCAAAGTACCCTCAAAATATTCAACCCAAACAAGTCCTCTCCAATGCTCATTATGCCAAATTGTCAAAAGTCAAGTAAAGAGTTGTAAAAACAGCAAGGTGAAAGTGTCTAGTGACATATAGGATTATTCTTATTCTAACAGTGAGTTTCTCAGCAGTAACATTATAGGCCAGGAGAGAATGGGATGTCATACTCAAAGTACCGAAAGAAAAAAAATTTAGCAGTCAAAAATACTATACTAATGAAATGAAAAGTTGGCTTTTTGAAAAAATAAATAAAATTGATAATCATTAGCTAGACTAAGAGACAGAAGACATAAATGAATAAAATCACAAGTGAAAAAGAAGATGTCACAATGGTTACCACAGAAATACACAAGATCATTAGACACTACTATGAACAATATGCCAATAAATATGAAAGTCTAGAAGAAATGGTAAGTTTCTGAACACATATAATCTACCAAGATTGAAACAAGAAGAAATAGAAAACCTCAACAGGCGAATAACAAGTAATGAGATTGAATGAATAATAAAAGTTCTCCCAACAAAGAAAATTGCAGAGCTAGATGGTTTCAGTGCTAAACTTTACTGAACCTTTAAAAAAATAAAATAACACCAACTCTTCTCAAATGACACCAAAACCAGAAAGGAGACAATAAAAAAAAGAAAACTACAGGCCAATATCCTGATGAACATAGATGCAAAAATATTTAACAAAATACCAGCAAATTGAATCCAACGATACATCGAAAAGATAATACAGCATGATAAAGTGGGATTAATCCCAAAAGGCAAGAATGATTCAACATATGCAAATCAATAAATGTGATACATTATGTCAATGGAATGAAGGACATAAACCATGTGATCACCTAAATAGTTGTAGAAAAAAAGCATGTGATATAATTCAATATTGCTTCATGATAGAAACTCTCAATAAATTAGGTACAGATGGAAAGTACCTCAACACAAAAAAGGCCATATATGACAAACCCATGGCTAACATCACACTGAAGGCAGAAAAGCTGAAAGCTTTTCCTCTGGGAACTGGATATCCACTTTTACCACTCTTATTCTACATAGCACTGAAAGTCCTACCAGAGCAATTAGGCAAGAGAAAGGAATAAAAACCATCCAAATTGGAAAGCAGGAAGTTAAATTGTCTCTGCAAATGACATGCAAAAACCTAAAGACTTGGCCAAATGCAGTGGCTCATGCCTGTAATCCCAGAACTTTGGGAGGCCAAGGTGGGCAGATTGTTTGAGGCCAGGAGTTCAATACCAGTCTGGCCAACATGGTAAAATTCCATCTCTTAAACAAAACAAAACAAAAAAACTACCAAAAAACCCTGAAGACTCTAGCAAATAAAACCTCCTAGAACTGACAAATGAATTTAGTAAATTTGCAGGATACAAAATCACTGTACAAATATCAGTTCCATTTCTATACACAGACAATGAACTAGCTGAAAATAAATCACAAGGGCAATCACATTTACAATAGCTATAAGAGAATGAAGTATACCTAGGAATAAAGTTAACCAAGGAGGTGACAGACCTCAAGAAGAAAAACTACAAAACACTGAGGAAATAAATTGGAGAAGATACAAACAACTGGAAAGACATTCCATACTCATGGATCAGATGAATTAATATTGCTAAAATGACTATACTACCTAAATAAACCTACAGATTCAAACCAGGCTCTATCAAAATACCAATGTCATTCTTCACAGAATTAGAAAAAAATCTTAAAATTCACATGGAACCAAAAATAGCCTGAATAGTCAAAGCAATCCTAAGCAAAAAGAACAAAGCTGGAGGCATCACACTACCAATTTCAAAGTACACTACAAAGCTGCATTAACCAAAACAGCATGATATGGGCAAAAAGCAGATACATAGACCAATGAAACAGAATAGAGAAGACAGAAATTAACCTACTACTACAGCCAACTGAATTTTAACGAAGGCATGAAGAACACTCATTGAGGAAAGAGCAGTCTCTTCAATAAATTATGCTGGGAAAACTGGTGCCATATACAGAATAATGCCACTAGACTTATACCTCTCATCCTGTACAAAAATCAATTCAAAATGGATCAAAGACCTGAATATAAGACACAAAAATATAAAAGTACTAGAAGAAAACATAGGGGAAATGCTTTAGGACATTGGTGTGGAAAAATATTTTATGAATAAGACCTCAATAGCAGAAGTAACAAAAGCAAAAGTGAATAAATGAGATGATATCAAGCTAAAAAGCTTGTATGCAATAAAGGAAACAATCAACAGAGTGAAAAGGCACCTACAGAATAGGAGAAACTGTTTGCCAGTTGTTCATCTGACAGGTGATTCATATCTAGAATATATGAGGAACTCATACATCTTGATGGCACAGAAAACCCCAATCTGATTAAAAAAATGGGTAAATTACCTGAAACATTTCTCAAGGGATGATATACCGATGGCTAACAAGTGTATAAAAAATGTTTAACATCACCAATCAACAGGGAAATGCAAATAAAAACCACAATGAGGTAACATCACCCCAGCTGGGAGGACTGTGATAAAAAGATGAAAATTAACAAATGCTGTTGAGGATGTAGCGAAGTGGGAACTCTTATATACTTTTGGCCAGAATGTAAACTAATATAACCAATATGGAGGAAGAGTATGGAAGTTTCTCAAAAAACTACAGATGGAGCTACCATATGATCCAGCAATTCTACTGGGCATTTATACAAAGAAAAGGAAATCAGTATATTGAAAAAATGTCTGTACCTCCATGTTTATTGCAGCACTATCCACAATAGGAAGATATGAAATCAACCTAGGTGTCATTCAACAACAGGTGAATGAATAAAGAAAATGTGGCATATATACATAGCGGATTATCATTCAGCCATAAAAAATAAAGAAATCTTGTTATTCATTATAACATGGTTTGAGCTAGAGGACATTTTGTTAAATGAAATAAGCCAGGAACAGAAAGTTAAATACTACATGTTCTCACTTATAAGCAGAATCAAAAGAAGTTGATTTCATAGAAGTGAAAAGTAGAACAGAGAATAGTAAGGACTGGGAAGGTTAGGGGAACAATGACAGGGAAAGAAATTTGTTAAAGGATACAACATTACACCTGGAAAGGAAGAATAAGTTCTCGTGTTCTATACCACTGTAGGTTGACTATGGTTAACAATAATATGTAGTTTCAAATAGCTAGAAAGAGGAAATTGAATGTTCCCAATACAATGAAATGATAAATGTTCAAGATGAGGGATATGCCATTACCCTGATCTGATTACCATACATTATTAGTATTGAAACATCATTATGCAATCCATAAATATGTACTATTATTATATATATCAACTAAAAATAAAGTAAAATACCCCAAGACATTCAGTGACAGGAGTGAGATAAAGAGCATTATTTGGATGGGGAAGGAAGAAGTTGCTAGTCATTTCCAAATATCCTTATCCAAGGTGCCTGGTGTCTGTCTACCTGTGTCTAACTACAGGCTTTGCCTCTGAACATTTGACTCAGAAAGTCCAGATCTGACCAAACCTGACACAATGCCAGTAACAGCCCCAGGCAGGGAGGCTCCTTCTTACCTGGGCCATCTGCTAGACAGATACCAGTGGTTGGGTTATGTGGAGCATCTAGGAGAGGAAGAGAGGGTTTCCTTCATTTGTGGGTAGGGGATGAAATAAGGGTAGACATTTGCCCTTACTCCTACCAGAAGCCGCAGAAATGCAGAAGGGACAGGGCTTATGTCCTTCTAGCTCCCAAACTTGGCCAGGCTTCCAGGACACTAAATGTCCCCAGCCCCAGCCCATCCTGTCTCCCCTGCACCCTCAGAGACCACAGCATCCTGGCCCAGCACTTACAGGTGACATTGAACTGGATGGTTCTCTCTGTGGTCACAGCAGCTCCGGGGAACTTCACCTGACAGGTGAGGTTGGTGCCATGGTCCTGGGGCCGTGGGGTGATGATGAGCACGGAGGAGTGGGTAGTCCTGGGGCCCAGGGAGGTGGGGGCAGCTGACATCCAGGAGAAGATGGGGGGTGTTCCCTGCTCACAGGCCCAGGGCACAGAGCAAGTCAGGTTTTTGGAGTGGCCAGGGTCTAGGGGTCCAGGGATGAGGATATTGGGCCTGTGGGCCAAGTCTGATGAGGAGAAAGCAGGGGATGCAAGATCAGGAGGGAGGGTCCAGGTGAGGCCCTGAGAGAAGATGAAGCCCTGGTCAAGCTCCCCCTGTAAGCATGACAGGCTTTACTCCTAAACCCCTCCCAGTATCGGGGTTCCATCCCAGCCCTGCCCTGCAGTACCCTTCAACTCCCCTTGTGGCCACTTCTGGAGCCCGTGCCTCACCTGTCACATGCACAGAGAGCTGGGTGAATATGTAACTGTATTTGGTACTTCCTGTCTCTATCCGAAAGAAGTATGAGCCATTGTCCCTCCTCCTGGCATCTATGATGCTCAGGGTGCAGTTGTTCTTCCTGGGATCCCCAAGAAGGCGGAATCGGCCCTGGGTCTCCTCCTGTACTTCTCGATCTGGGTTGTTTGTGGCCACTGGAGAGTCCAGGGATACAGTGGCTCCTTTCCCGAACCAGTAACCATAAACTGGGTTATTCCTGAGGTAGGAGGGTGGGAGGGAGAAAGTGCAGGACACGAGGACGCACAGACCCTCCTGCACTGTCACTGAATCCTGCACTTTCAGCCAGAATCTTGAATCCTTAGCCAGGGCCCCTGTGGGGAAATGAGGATCAGCTTGGCCCAGCCCCATGACCCCTCTCCCCACAGCCACTCACCTGCCCACAGCAGGGGCGGCAGCAGCAGCAGTGACATCTTTGAGGCAGAGACCTCCTGGGCTCCCTGTGTGAGCAGAGAAGAGGAAGGAAGTGGAGGGGAAGGGCTGCAGAACTGAAAGGGAAGCTGGGGAGGAGCAGGAGACCTCAACCCCTGCACAGAAGAGGAACCTCAGACCCACACGTGTTCAGAGCTCATTTCCTCCACACACATTGGACAGATCCCTCATGGGCCAGAGATGCCAGAGATCTGCCTAGAGAGGGGAGGAAATGAAGCAGAACCTGAGTCTTGCCTCCCAGGAGCACCAGAGCCTGGACCAATACCTCTGGTGACATCGGAGTTTCACTCTTGTTACCCAGGCTGGAGTGCAATGGCGTGATCTCTGCTCACCACAACCTCTGCCTCCTGGGTTCCAGCAATTCTCCTGCTTCAGCCTCCTGAGTAGCTGGGATTATAGCCATGTGCCACCATGCCCAGCTATTTTTTGTATTTTTAGTAGAGACGGGGTTTCACCATGTTGACCAGGATGGTCTCGATATCTTGACCTCGTGATCCACCCGCCTCGGCCTCCCAAAGTGCTGGGATTACAGGTGTGAGCCACCGCGCCCGGCCTTGGTTTTTCATTTTACTCTGTGAGGCAGATCCTCAATGCCTAAGACATAATAGTATTTGCAACCATATACAGGTAAAATCTCTATACACAGTAGTATCTAGATAAATGTTCATTCCTCCTGCTTACCATAGAGAGCTGTTTTCATCCTCTTTTTATATATAAGGAATTGAGTCCCCAATAAATAATATCTTGCTGTATATTATTTTTAAATAAAGTATATGCATATAATAGAATATCCAGTATATTTACTTTTAACAGTAAGAAATTATACCATGTTCATGGACTAGAGGGTTATATGACTATGTGAGTCTTATTGTGTTTGTTTAATGAACAAGGTATAATTTACTAATGAACTAGGTATAATTTACTAATGAACTATAATGAGCTAGGTATAATTTACTTGAAATAATGTGCACCCACTTGAAGTGTTTGTTTCCATGAGTTTTGACAAGTGTATACAGCCCTATTGTGACTGCCACAATAATATACACAACATTTCTACTACACCAAGGGCTTTACCTAACCTCTTTGTAGTTCATCATTCGCACTTCTTGTGCCAGGCAACCACCAATATGCTCTCTCTCATGGTGTGTCACTTTTGCCTATTTCAAAATTTCCTAGGAAGGAATGTACTTATCTGTGTCTGTATTTCTGACACTGAGCATATTTTTTGAAACTGAACTAAGTTGTATGTACCTATAGTTCACAGTGTGATATTGCTAAATAGCATCCCATTATATGGATATACTATAGTCTTATATTTATTCACCTATTGATAGACATTTGAGACTTCCCCATTTTTTCACTAATGATACTCACACGGAAGTCTTTTTATAGACATATTTTTATCCTCACGAGTATACATAAGAAGAGGAATGATAAGACCAAACCCTACTTGTATGTTTAATTTTGGTAGAAATTGCCAAATTTGTCCAAAAATAATTTGACTTTTACCACTTTTTCCAGTCATGTGCCAGAATACCAGTAGTTCCATACCCTTGTAAATACTTGGTATTTTCACTCTTTATATTTTGATACTTCTAATAAGAATTTAATAGTATCTCATGTTTTTCCATTTATTTTATTATTATTATTATTTTTTTGAGACAGAGTCTTGCTCTGTTGCTGTAGTGCAGTGGCATGATCTTGGCTCACTGCAACCTCCGCCTCCTGGGTTCAAGCAATTCTCCTGCCTCAGCCTCCTGAGTAGCTGGTATTACAGGTGCATGCCACCACGCCCAGCTAATTTTTGTATTTTTAGCAGAGACAGGGTTTCACCGTGTTGGTCAGTCTGGTCTTGAACTCCTGACCTCGTGATCTGCCGACTTTGGCCTCCCAAAGTGCTGGGATTACAGGTGTGAGCCACCACACCCGGCCCAATTTTTTATTTTATTTAAATTTGGATACAGTTGAATTCAGTCTTTATCATGTACAATTCTATGTGGCCGACTGATGTAGATAGCTATGTAGCCAAAACTACTACTGTATCAAGTGTCAGCAGATTGTCATGACCTATAATACTTCCTCCTGCTGTCCTCTGGTAGTCAACCCTCTCTTCACCCTTAACTCCTAAAAGGACATTGATCTCTTCTTCATCCATATTGATATGCCTTTTATAGAATGCCATATACATGGAACCATACAAAATGTTGCCTTTAAAGCCTGAGCCCTGTGATTGGGCAAATACATCAATAATTGTTCTCTTTAATTGCTGACTGGTACTGCAAGGTTTTGGTGGATCCTTAGTAGACATTTACCAGTTAAAGAAGATTCAAATTGTTTCCAGGTTTTTGTGACTGTGAAATAAAGCTGCTATAAATATTGACGTGGGCCGGGTGCAGTGGCGCACGCCTGTAATCCCAGCGGTATGGGAGCCTGAGACAAAAGGATAGCTTGCACTCAGGAGGTTGAGACCAGCCTATGCAACATGGCAAAACCCTATCTCTACCAAAAATACAAAAAATTAGCTGGGTGTGGTGGCGTGCACCTTTGGTTCCAGCTACTTGGGAGGCTGGGGCGGGAGGATTGCTTGAGCCTGGGAGGTGGAAGTTGTGATGAGCAGAGATTGCACCACCACACTCCAAACTGCGTGATAGAGCGAGACCCCGTCTCAAAAACAAACAAACAAAAACACATTGACATTCAGGTTTCTGTATGTGGACGTAAGTTTTATTTCTGTTGGATAAATACCTAGGAGCCAGGCGCTTGGTTATATGGTGTGAGTTTAAATTGATATGAAATTGCCAGATTGTTCTCCAAAGTGAATATAACACTTTGTAGTCCCACCAGCAGTAGATATGAGTCTGGGCACTTCACATCCTTGTTAGCACTTGATATTAGCAGAATTAAAAAAAAAAACTTACTATATATATATATTTTTTATCATTCTGTTAAACATGTAATACTACCTCATTCTGGTTCTAATCCATAATTACCTAATGGCAAATGATATTGAGCATATTTTCATGGGTTTGTTTGCCATTCATTTTTCTGTTTTACTGATGTGCTTGATCAAATCTTCAACTGCTTTTTAAAAATCATGGTAAAATATGCAGCAAAACAAAAAATTTTTTTCACCATACAGGTAAGTGGCGTTAAGTATAGTCACGTTGTTGTAAATCACCACCATGGATATGGTTTAGATATTTGGACCTCCGCATCTCATGTTGAAATGTAATCCCCTATGTTGGAGGCAGGGCCTGGTGGGAGGTGTTTGGGTCACTGGGGTGGATTCTTCATGGCTTGGTGCTATCCTCGAGATAGTGATTCTCACAAGATCTGGCTGTTTGAAAGTGTGTGGCACCTTCTACCCACTTCTCCCTTGCTCCCACTCTCTTACCACATGAGACGCCTGTTTCTCCTCTACCTTTTGCCGTGATTGTAATTTTCCTGAGGCCTCACCACAAGCTGAGCAGATGCTAGCACCATGCTTTCTGTACAGCCTGCAGAACTATGAGCCTATTAAACCTCTTTTATTTATAAATTATCCAGACTCAGGTATTCCTTTATAGCAATGCAAGGACAACCTAACACAACCATTAATCTCCTGAGATGTCTTCCTCTTCCCAAACTGAAACCTTGTATCAGCATCTTGAAAATAGCTATCTGATGAATGACTTCTAGCTGTTGTTGGTGGGCCAGTTCTGTTCTAATAATTTATCTTCTTGTATCAATTAAGTGATAACTCATATCCCCTGGCAAGCATGGTTCTACTTTCTGTGTCTGTGAATTTGCCTAGTCTACACACCTCATATAAATGAAATCACAGAGCGTTTGTCCTGTTGTGACTGGCTTAATGTAATATGTTTAAGGCTCATCCATGTTGCAAAATGTGTCAGCTATTTTAATTTAAAACAGTATTGCTATTTTAAGGCTAAATAATATCCCATTTTATGTATATAACACATTTTGTTTATCCATTTGTCTATTGAGCACTTGGGCTGCTTTCACCTTTTAGCTCTTGTGAATATACTGCTGTGAACATAGTTGCATAAAAACCTGCTCAGATTTCTGCTTTCAGTCCTTTTGAGTATATACCCAGCAATGTAACTGCTGTATCATCTGATCATTCTATTTTTATTTTATTCTTTTGAAACTTTTTGAACTTTCTACTGCTTTCTATAGCAGCTTCCTATTTTATTTTCTCACAAGAAATACACAAGAGTGCAATTTCTCCACATTCTTGCAACACTTGTCGTTGCCCATGTTTTAAAATAACAACTGTCATGATTGGTATTGTTTTAAACTGTGGTTGTTTTTGTTGTTGCTGTTTATTAAATGTATCTATTGAAAGTGTACAACATGATGTCTTGATATTATGGTTTTGATTTGCTTTCCCTTGTGACTAGTGTTGTTGACTATTTCTGTGCTTATTGGCCATTTGTATTCTTTTTTGTGTGATTCATAACTCATCATCCATTTTTAACAATGTCATTTGGCTTTTGTTGTTAAGTAGCTGCTTTTAAAAATTAAAACTGGGTTCGGGCCTGGTGGTTCACCCCTGTAATACTAGCACTGTGGGAGGGTGAGGTGGGCAGACCACTTCAACCCAGGAGCTTGAGACCAGCCTGGGCAACGTGGTAAAACCCTGTCTTTACAAAGGATACAAAAATTAGCCAGGGGTGATCGCCATGCCTGTGGTCCCAGCTACTGAGGAGGCTAAGGTGGGAGGATCACCAAGCCCAAGAGGTCAAGGTTGCAGTAAGCCAAGGTCGCACCACTGCACTCCAGCCTGGGTGACAGAGTAAGAGACCCTATCTCAAAAAGTAAAATAAATTAATAAAAATGAAAACAAAAAGCCCCAAACTGGACTTTTGTTGCTGCTGTTGTTATTTATTGACATTTTTGCTTTGAGAGTTCTTGATATATATATAGTTGTTTTGTTGTTGTTGTTGTTTTGAGACAAAGCCCTGCTCTGTCACTAGGCTGGAGTGCAGTATCTCAATCTCGGCTCACTTCAGCCGCTGCCTCCCAGATTCAAACAATTCCCCTGCCTCAGTCTCCCAAGTAGCTGAGAC